CACGGCCTCCTCGCAAGATAAGGCCTTGAACGACCTCAAACGCTTGGTCCAGCTCAAGTCCTGCCAAGCCTTCGCCACCCGCTTCGTCCAGCTCGCCGCCCGCGTCCAGACTGACGAACCCACCAAGATGCACTTCTTCAAGGAGGGTTTGAAGTCTGAGGTCAAGTTCCACCTCATCGGTCTCCGCCCCGCTCCCGCTTCCTTGCCCGAGTTGATCAAGGCAGCGGTCGAGTACGACGATGCCCTCCATCGTCTCAAGGTCTCCTCCCGTTCCCAACCTCCTCCTCCTTCTTCTCGCTCTGCTCCCCATCACCACCATTCTCCCGCGCATGTTTCTTCTTCCTCCTCTTCTGCACCCACTCCCATGGACCTTGACTCTGTCTCGGTCCGCCCTGCTAAGCTCTCCGACGTCGAGAAAAAGCGACGTCGTGAGCAGGGTCTCTGCTTGTACTGCGGGGAAAAGTCTTGTCCCGGCAGTCGCGATGTTCAGCAGTGCCCGGTTCTGGTCAAACGGAACTCGGGAAATGCTCACAGCCGAGCAGCACCTCGCAAGTAAGCGAGGTGGTCTGTTCGGCGATACGAACATCTTCCCCCTCTGACTCGTCACTATCGGACGATAAGCTTCTTCTTCCGGCCACTCTTATCGTCATGAGTCTTTCTGGCCCGGTCTCCATCTCCCTTTCTGTTTTTATTGATGATGGATGTTCCGCTCTTGCCCTCATTGATCCTGCCTTTGCCGATCTCCATAAACTCTCTCTTATCCCTCTTTCTACTCCTTACTCCGTTTCCCTTGCTGATGGTTCTTCGGCCGGTTTCATTCGTTTCCAAACCGCGCCTTTGACTCTGACCATTGGTTCCCACACCGAGTCGATTTCTTTTCTTGTGACTCGACTCTCCACCACTCCCATCACTCTTGGTCTTCCCTGGATGCGCTTGCATAATCCAGTTGTTAATTGGAAGTCCCTCTCCCTTTCATTCTCCGATCCCTCTTGCCTTGCTGATGGACACATCCTCGCGGATGTCTCTGCTTCTTCCTTGGACACTCCGTCCGCTTCCGGCTCCTCGCCTCCCCCTTCGGGCACTTCGCCTTTGACTCCTCCTCCCTCCGGTCCTTCCCTTACACCGGTTCCCTCCTTTGGCACTTCGCCTTCCCTTTCTTCCCGCCTTGACTCTGCTTCGCTTTCTGAAGAGCCAACGGCTTTATCTTCACCCGACATTGAGCTCGTTAATGCGGCGAGTCTTCTCCGTCTTGCACGGGAAGACAAGCTCGACATTTTCGCTGCCCAAATGGATATCCGTCCTCCTTCGCCGGAGACGTATCCTACGGTGTCGATAAGGTCCGTGCTCACGACGAAGGTGTATGCCGAGTCTGGCACCCCTGTTGACTCTCGAGGCGTCCCACTCAAATACAATGAGTTTGGCGACGTTTTCAGCCTCAAGTCTGACCCTCCTTCTTCCTTGCCTCCTCATCGTCCGTATGACTTGTCCATTGAGTTTGTACGGACCGAGGATGGAAAGGAACCTCGTTTGCCAAAGCCGGGGAAAGTCTATCCTTTGTCCCCGGCCGAGGAATCTGCTCTTTCGGAGTATCTGACCAACGCCCTCGCACGTGGTTGGATCTCCAAATCCTCTTCTCCCGTTGGTGCTCCCTGCTTCTTCGTGAAGAAGCCCAATGGTGGTCTTCGCCTTTGCGTCGACTACCGAGGCCTCAATGCCATCACGAAGAAGAACCGTTACCCACTTCCCCTCTTCCAGGATCTTCTGGATAAACTTTCTTCTGCCCGCGTCTTCTCACACCTCGACCTTCCTGATGCTTACCACTTGGTTCGTGTCAAGAAGGGCGATGAGTGGAAGACTGCTTTTGTTTGCAAATCTGGCTCATTTGAGTACAATGTTATCCCCTTTGGTCTTTCGAATGCCCCCGCTGCTTTTCAGTTTTTTATGAACGACATCTTCTCGGACCTCCTTGGTGTCTGTGTTGTCATTTATCTTGACGACATCCTGATCTTCTCAAAAGATCCCCAGGAGCATGAGGAGCATGTTAAGCTTGTTCTCTCTCGCCTTCGTGAACACTCCCTTAAGGTCAATCCGGCCAAGTGTTCTTTTGACCTTTCTGAAGTTGACTTTCTCGGCATGATCATTTCTGCCGATGGCATCAAAATGGACCCTGCCAAGGTCGAGGCCGTTTCCCTTTGGCCTGTTCCCTCTTCTGCTCGCGATATCCAAGTCTTTATTGGTTTCGCAAACTTTTACCGCCGCTTCGTCAAGGACTTTTCCGCACTTGCTCGTCCTTTGACTTCCCTCACTACCAAATCCTCCACCTTCTCTTGGTCTCCCGAGGCCCAAGAGGCTTTTGATTCTCTTAAACTTTCCTTCACTTCCGCACCTATTCTTCGATACTTTGATTTCTCTAAACCCGCTGTCATCGAGCCCGATGCTTCTGACTTTGCTTTGGGTGCCGTCCTTTCTCAGTTTGACCCTGACGGCGCTCTTCACCCCGTTGCTTTTCACTCTCGGCAATTCCGTCCCGCCGAGGTGAATTATGACACTCACGACAAAGAGCTCCTCGCCATTGTCGATTCCTTTACCGCCTGGCGTCATTACTTGATGGCTGCCGACCCTGATATTCCCACTCTTGTTTTCTCTGATCATCAGAACCTTACCCGGTTCACTGCCGCTTCTCAACTTTCTCGCCGCCAGTTCCGGTGGGCCCAATTCCTTTCTGACTTTGCTTTTCGCATTTACCACCGCCCTGGTCGTCTCAACACCAAAGCCGATGCTCTCAGTCGCCGTTCTGACTTTGAGATAAAGCCTGGTGACTCCCTCCACTCCACCAACTTCCTTCAGCTGTTCGAGTCTATTTCTCTCGACAGCATCACTGTTATCGGCTCGAATCCCGACTTTCTTTCCGAGATTCGAGCTGCCACCCTTTCTTGTTCCCTCCTTTCTGACTTTAACGCCAAACGTCTTGATGGCGATTACTCCTTCCGTGACGGTCTCCTTTACTTTAAAGACCTGATCGTTGTCCCTTCCCCCGAGCTCCAGCTCAAAGTGTTTGAGCAACGTCACTGCTCCGCTGCCGCTGGTCACTTTGGTCTTGCCAAGACCGTTGAGCTCGTCTCCCGGGACTTTCACTGGCCCCGGCTTCGTAAGTCTGTGCGTCGCTTCATTGCTAATTGTGAAGCGTGCCAGCGAGCCAAGCCGTCCCGTCACTCCCCTTATGGTTTACTTCATCCTCTCCCCGTTCCTTCCGAACGTTGGTGGGACCTGTCGATGGACTTCATCACGGATCTCCCACCTTCGAACGGTTTTGACTCGATCTTCGTGGTTAAGGACCGCCTGTCCAAACAAGCACACTTTGTGCCCACCACGAAGACGGTTACAGGCGAGCAAACCGCCGAACTCTTCCTCTCCCACATCTTCCGCTTGCATGGTTGTCCCCGGTCTATTGTTTCGGACCGAGGAACTCAGTTTACTTCGGCCTTCTGGAGGCGCTTCAATGAGCTTCTGAAGACGAAGATTTCCCTTTCTTCTGCCTTCCACCCCGAGACCGACGGTTCGACCGAGGTTCTCAACCAGGTCATCGAGCAGTATTTGCGTATCCATTGCAATTACCTGCAAGACGACTGGACCCTTCACCTTCCCCTTGCCGAGTTCACTTACAACAACTCGGAAAACACCTCCACTGGCATGACTCCCTTCTTTGCAGTCCATGGCCATCACCCCATTTTCGATCCCTCTATCATTCGTGATCCCTCTGTTGTGCCCTCTGCCGAAGAACGTGTCGACCGACTTCAGACCGTTCTCGAGGATCTCAAGGCCAACCTCCGGGTTGCCCAAGAGTCCTACACTGTGCAGGCCAACAAATCCCGTCTCCCCACTCCCGACATCTCCGTTGGCGACCTCGTTTTTCTGGATCGTCGCCACATTCGCACCCTTCGTCCCTCCAACAAGCTTGACCAGAAAAAGCTTGGCCCCTTTAAAGTTCTTCGCCGCATCAACCCCGTTGCCTTTGAGCTTAAACTCCCTTCCACACTTAAAGTTCACCCCGTTTTCCATGTATCCCTCCTTGAACCCCGAACGAAGGACATTGTTCCCGAGTTCACCCAACCAGAACCACCTCCCATTCTTGTTAACTCCCAGGAAGAGTTTGAGGTCGAGACTGTTCTCGATTCTCGGCTCTTCCGTGGTCGCTTACAGTACTTGGTTCAGTGGAAGGGCTATTCCGAGACTGACCGGTCTTGGGAGCCCGCTGCCAATGTTTCCCACGCCACTGATCTTGTTGCTGACTTCCACCTTCGCTATCCCTCAAAGCCGAAGGCGACGTCCGGAGTTCGTCGCTAAGGAAGGGGATGATGTTAGGGATAGCTCCTGCTTGTTCTCCACTTTGACTGCACACTTGGCTATTCTTTTGCCTTTCTGTTTGTTTGTGTGTAGCCTTGCAGTTCCCCTCCGATTTTCCGCCTTTTGCCTGTCTTTTCCGCTCCTTCCGCACTTCCGTTTTCCCGCGCTGCTCCGCTTCCTTTGTCTTCTTCGCACGCGCCGGTTTGTTTGTGCACGCGCCTTGCTGCGATTGGTTGCAATTCGGCTGCCGGTCATGTGTCCCCCCACCGGTGACTCATGACCTGCCTGACCGCCCCGATCTCTTGTTCATCTCGCATGCATTTGCCCCAACCTTATACTTGACCAATCCGCTTCTTGGACGTTGAGTCACATTGCTTCGCCTTTGCACGTTTCTCCTGCCAGGTGCTTCGCTTTTGCTTGCGCCTCTCTCGCTTTGGTTCTCTGCCTGTCTCGGTGGTCCTTCTCGGCCCTCGTTCGTGCATCGCCCCCTTCGCCCTGCTCGATCGCCCACTTTTCCCTCCCTTGGCCGCCCTTCGCTGCCAAGTCCGGACTTGTCTATAAATAGCCTGACCCCCGCGATGTGTAGTCGAACCTTAGCGTTCAAAATAGGACTAAATAAAGTGCCTTCTACTTTATTCTCTGAGTGTTCCTCACGTCTCATTTCGAGACAAGTCTTATCTTGAACGGATCTTTGCTTCCCTCGCTCCCTCTCCGAGTCCACTTCGGACTCTACCCTTGCTTTCCCTGAGCTCACTTCGAGCTCACTTCTTCTTTTGCCGTTGAGTCCCCTTTGGACTCTAACAACCGAGGTGCCAGACAGCGAAAGTATGCCACCAAATGCCCTCCGAGGCGAATCGCAAGGTGAATCTTTTGGAGACCAGGACAACCCAGGCGAACAAATCCCAACACTACCCAAGCCGCCGGCAGAGCAGACACTCCTATCAAGCACAAGCCACGATACCACTCAGGATATAGCCAGCACAGTCGAACCAAGCCCAGCACTACCCAAGCAACCGGTGGAGGAGGTACTCGTACATCAGCCTCCAAATAGACAGGTATGAGCCAGATGGGTCTCCCTTGTTTTTGCATGATGGGTGTGGATGTTTTGTACAGTGGATGCGTCATTCTGGTCTGGTTTTTTATGTTGGTACTGGGTAGACAACACCCGTTGAGCTTCCGAGCTCGACAACCCAACAAAAAGGATAAGCCGAGGTTCGACCTGTCCGTTGTCTCCGCGTAGGCATCACTTTATGGAGCAAAAACCACGCTCTTGATGCCTCGTGAAGGACTCGTTGCCTCACAGCCTTATACCTTGACCCTCATGATCAATCGATTGTTGAGGAATCTGGGGTGTGGTTTGCAAACGCAGACCCGCCTCTGTGGCCTGGCACCTCCGAGTTTGCCCTGTGCTCGGATGAACACATCGTCTGATTTATTGGACGAAATCAACGCGGGGATCTGAGAATCGACTAATCCCGTATCGACGGATATTCTCATATCCCTTCCAGGCGAACACCACCATAGATATCATTCAGATCGCTCGCAACGGTGAGCCTGATGATCTATTGGAGTTCCTCGAAGCATTGACTCCAGGTATGTGACAATGAAACGAGTGTGATGAATCTCGATCTTCTTTCTCTGGCTTACATTCTAACATGAATTAATATTGCATAGATAAATGGGAACAGGTTTTTCAAATCTATCAAGAGCGTGTAGTCCAAGCCGAAAAAATCCGAGACTATCGATTCACCTTCAGCATCGCGTGGATGTACTGCCTTGGACTTGGTCAGCCGATCTCTCTGCCGGATGCGTTGAAGCAGTGGTCACACATAGCTCGGTCCAAGACTAGCGAAAGTACACGATCCGAAGGTCTCCGCAAGTCAGCGGCCTTTTTGAAGTTTTGGTTTGTTGCTCTTGGAGTGACCTTTGTTGAAAATTGGGCAGCGGCTCATGAGATCGAAGTTCTCTACAAACTTGGGGAGCTACCCTCTGGAAGCGATATGCAAGACTATTCGCTTCTGTTTATGTGGTGTCGCTTTGGTGCCGAACGGAGTGAGTTATGTAGGTTCTTACTCAGTACTTGTTATTTGCATGGTATTGGGACTGCTGCCGACCCTGCTCTGGCCATCGTCACCATCGGGAATGTTGCCACGAAGGTTAAACCGGATGTGACTCACTGGTATTGCTTGTTGGGGGAGTGTTACTACTCGCAGGAGCGGTATGACCTGGCGTTTTCGGCGTTTCTTTCTTCCTGCCGGCATTGTACAGGGGGGAAAGTGCGCTATAGCCCCAAGGCCAACTATTTTCTTGGCCAATGTTACGAGCACGGTCGTGGAATTGAAGCAGATCCAACAATGGCACTTAAGCAGTACGAAAATGCCAATGCCAAGCGATACCCCCTTAACAAAATCAATGCAGAGCGTCTTCGTACTCTTGTTACCATGCAGTGAATTGAATACAGTGCCCTATTTTGTAACAGACGATCACCAGCGAGGGGAGAGTGGGTTCTTGGAGACTGTGGTCCCATTGTGGGTCACATGACACCCAGCTGACTCTTGGTGCCCCACCACAACCGCAGGCAAGCCGTCCTCGCCGTGAACCCGTATGCATGTTCGATCGTCACCCCACTCACAGCCCACCCGCGAATCCTTCGCATATCCGTCATCCATCACACATGAGCACCATCCAAACCGATACCATCTTGCTGTTCAGTCATGTCAGCAAGATATACTCGAACACCGCCTTGGATTTGAAGGCGAGTCTTTGCGGGCTTCAAGATCAATGCCACTCTGTCGATGACGGAATTTGGTTCGGCTCATGGGCTACATTCATCGACACTGTGCACACCTATGTATCAAGACTCATCCATCATGGCGAATATTTGAAGGAGCGATATGACTTCGCTGAAATAGGTGCCCGGCAGCTCTACCGGGTTCGCTATATGATCGAGAAATTCAAGGACGAGTTCGAGACCGGCTATATCGCACAACCCGAAGCCGTCCAATATCTTCTCTGCAGATGGCGGCTCCACAAGATCCGAGAGTATCGCACAAAGCTCTCGGTCATCGTCGCATCCGCCCTCCAGAATCTGAAGGTCAAGGCCTCCATCGAAGATGATCGACACATCGTGGCGATCAACAACACCCTTCGGAGCCGTTTGGGGGATGACGAACGCTCCATCCATCGGAGTATTTATGAGGTCAAAGGTCAACTGTATAGCATCTTCAGACCGCCGTCGAGGGACGAAGAAATTCCGAAGATCATTAGGAAGCTCAAGCAGGTCCTCGAACTCGAAATCGCGAATGGAGCTAGTGGGTCATGTATTCACGAAGGCGCCCGGTACCTGATCGACCTTTACAAGCGAAGCCTCGACACCCAGCCAACACACACCCCATCGACGTGGAGTATCCCAGAAGAAAACCTCGTCAGCAAGCGAGGTGTCGCCAAACATGTCCTTGGTGATGAGACTTGGACTATTATGAAGGCACGATATTTTGGGACCGGAGTGATCCTCCTCCAAAAGGATGACCTCAGCCCCGTCGAGTTGAATCGGTTTCGAGTCTCCGTTTCCAAGTGGATCAACCTTCGTCATCCGGCGATCGAGAGTCTTATTGGGGTTTGCAACGATGGTCCAAATGTCGCTCTGGTGAAGAGTCTATATCGACAGCCGTTGGCAAGGACACTGAAGCAGTACCGGACCAATTTAAGACAGGATCGATGTCTTCCTCTGCGAATGCGCTGGATTCATGAGGTTGCAACAGGTATGGCCTATATCCACAAGCATGGCCTCGTTCATGGGGATCTCCGGCTTGAAAACATCGTCAACGACCGGTACTGTGTCCAAATCACAGTCAACTCATGTATCCACCGAGACATCCAAGGTCGCCCTGTACAACGAGACGGAGTGTCGTATGCCCCAGAGCTGCGTCGAAGGTTCCCAGCCGAACCCACGATGGCCACAGACGTTTATGCCTTTGGCATCCTTATGTGCTATCTCATTTACTGTCGACCGCCGGAAGTGTTGCAGCATATCGAGAAGATGACACAGCCCGTCGATGGTATTCCTGCAGAGTACACTAAGCTGATTGCTCAATGCCTCGACTCTGATCCAAGGAAGAGACCAAGCTGTCAAGACTGGACAACGGGGCAAGCAGGGAAGTGCGCAAGAGTCCTAATGCAAGACTCGAACGTAGGGAGAGGAGCGGGGACTGGACTGGGACACAGAGTGTCAAGTGTGAAGCCAAAGTTTTATTCTAGATCCAAGGCTTAGGATACTAAAAATACAAAGTGGCAAGACGAAGGCAAAAGACAGAGGCTGGTCGGAGGGCTATTTATGCGAGCGCCAAGGATCGACGCTGCAGAGCGAGGGGGCAGGAGCGAAGCAGCGGCGGGGAGGGCGAAGCAGCGAGCGAAGCAGGTGGCGGCCGTGACTCGGGATCCGTGAGTCAGCGGGCGTCAGTGGCGGCGGCTTGGCGGCGCCAAGGCGTCAGGCGGCGTCGAGGCGGCGTCGTGGGCGTAACCCATGACCAACAGCAAGGGAGCGGGAACGGAACACAGGCAGCGCGCGTGCTTGCGGTAAGACAACAAGGCAGCACAGCGCGGGAAACAAACAAACAGAAGGAAGGGAAAGCACTAAGACAGGCAAACAGAAAGGAAAGGGCAAGGGTAAAGGAAGGGAGTGGGCAAAGGCAGAGGGTGTTCATGACACTACCCCCCTCTCAAGGCCCGAGCTCCGAGAGGGCCAGGCTTCGAGGGATGAGAGGAGTGGTAGGCAGCGACAGGCTCCGGACAATGTGCAAGATTGCTGGCGGGCTCCCAGGTGCAATCCATCACCGTGTAGCCACGCCAGTGCACAAGATACTGGAGCTTACCTCGGAACAGCCTGGAGTCCAGGATCTGTTCGACTTCCCATTCGTCGTGGCCGTCGACTTGGATGGGTGGAGGGGGCGGGATCGTTCGACCTGGGATCTTGTCGTCGGCGGCAGGCTCGAGCAGGGAGACGTGGAAGACAGGATGAATGCGCATGGACGAGGACAAGTCCAACTTGAAAGCGCGGGAACCGACTTGAGCGACGATCTTGAACGGCCCAAGCTTGGTGTGGTCGAGCTTGGCCGTGGGTCGCTGGGTCTTGATGTTCTTGGCGGAGAGCCAGACTCGGTCTCCAACCTTGAACGGAGGGGAAGGGGAGTGGCCGGGGTCGTAGAACTTGGCTTGGGAGTCCTGGGCGAGGGCGATGTTGAACTTGAGTTCATCGTGGAGGGAGTGAATGGCTCGGGCTTGATCGTCGGCGACGGAGGCATTCTTGGTGGTGCGGGGAAGGGCGACGGAAAAACGAGGGTGGTAGCCGGTGTAGGCGAAGAAGGGGGAGCAGCCGAGGGTTGCTTGAGAGGTGTTGTTGTAGGTGAACTCGGCGTGAGGGAGGAGCTGGGCCCAGTCGTCTTGCTGGAAGTTGATGAAGCAGCGGAGGTACTGCTCGAGGATGGCGTTGACCCGCTCGGTCTGGCCGTCGGTCTGCGGATGGAAGGCAGTCGACATCTTGTGCTTGATCTTGAGGCGGGTCAGGACGGCTTGGAAGAACTTGGAGGCAAAGGTAGATCCTCGGTCTGAGACGATATCGTCTGGAAGACCGTGCTTGGTGAAGACATGCTCGACAAACATCCGAGCAGTGTCTTCGGCGTTGGCCTCGTTGCTTGACGGGACGAAGTGGGCCATCTTGGTGAAGCGGTCGACAAACACACAGATGGCTGTGTGTCCAGAGGACTCGGGAAGCTGGGTGATGAAGTCGACCGAAACAGAAGACCAAGGGCGATCGGGAACAGGGAGCGAGGCAAGGAGTCCGTAGGGCTTGTGACGGGAGTGCTTGTTCCGCTGGCAGGTGTCGCATCCGGAGACATACTCCTTGATGTAACGACGCATGGTCGGCCAGTGGAAGGTCCGGGAGACGAGCTCGAAGGTCTTGGCGACGCCGAAGTGGCCGGCGGTCGGCGAGTCGTGGCACTCGACGAGGATCTTGCGCTTGAGCTCGGGGACATCGGGGACGCAGACGAGACCTTCAAAGAGCAGAAGGTCGTTGTCGACGGAGTAGCCGGGACAGGAGGCAGGGTTCTTGAGGACTTGGGACAGGATCGGACCAAAGGTAGAGTCCTTCTTGAGGCTTGACTTGATGAGGACGGCGATATCCTCAGACTCGGGGGCAACGGGAACGGCTCGGAGGGCGGAAACGAAGAGTTTTGGTGGCAGCAGGGTCTGGGTGTTCGGGGAGCTACGGGAGTCACCCCCCTCCTTAGGGAACTTGTCCTTGCGGGAGAGGGCGTCGGCGGCATTGTTGAGGGTTCCGGGTCGATACCTGATGACGAAGTTGTAGTCGCCAAGGATCTCGGACCAACGGACTTGGCGACGGCTGAGGTTGCGGGAGGTCTGGAAGTATTCAAGGTTCTTGTGGTCGGTGACGACCTCGGTGGCTTGGGAGGAGAACTCGAGGTAGTGTCTCCATTGCTTGAAGGCTGCGACGATGGCGAGAAGTTCCTTATCATAGATTTGATAATTCATTTCTGCATCGAGCAGCTTCCGGGAGTAGAAGGCCACGGGGTGGAGGAGGCCTTCGTCGTCGCGCTGACTGAGAACAGCGCCAAGAGCATAGTCAGATGCGTCGGCTTCGATGACGCACTGACGCTCGGGGTCGAAGTGGCGGAGGACAGGACCGGTGCTCAGGCATTCCTTGAGCTTCAGGAATGACGTTTGAGCCGAGGGAGACCAGGAGAACTTGATGTCCTTCTTCAGGAGGTCCGTCAGCGGGGTGGCGATCTTGGAATAATCCTTGACGAACCGACGGTAGAAGTTCGCCAGGCCGAGGAAGACTTGGATGTCGTGGGCAGATCGGGGGATCTCCCACTCCTGGATGGCCTTGACCTTGTCGGGATCCATGGAGATTCCATCGGGCGAGATGATGAACCCGAGGAAGGCGACGGAGGACTGGTCGAACTCACACTTTTCAAGCTTGAGTGAGAGTCCGGCGTCTTGGAGCTTGGTCAGGACTTTCTTGACATGAGCCTCGTGCTCGGCAGGATCGGAGGAGTAGATGAGGATGTCGTCCAGGTAGACGACCACGAACTGGTCAAGGTATTCTCGGAGGACATCGTTGACGAAGGCTTGGAACGAGGCAGGAGCGTTGGTCAAGCCGAACGGCATGACGTTGTACTCGAAGTGGCCGTAGCGACAGCGGAAGGCCGTCTTCCACTCTTCACCTTCAGCGATGCGCAAGAGGTTGTATGCGCCTCGCATGTCGAGCTTGGTGAAGATCTTGGCCTTGCCGAGGTTGTCGAACGTCTCGGCAATCAGGGGCAAGGGACAACGGTTCGGCACGGTGATCTTGTTCAGGGCCCGGTAGTCGACGCAGAGACGGAGGGAGCCATCCTTCTTCTTGACGAACAGGACTGGGGCACCGGCAGGGGACTCGGAACGGCGGATGAAACCCTTGGACAAGTTCTCTTGGATGTAGGTGTGGAGGGCGTCCATCTCCGGCTTGGAGAGGTTGTAGACGGGCCCAAACGACGGGGACGCACCTTCGACCAACGGGATCGTGTGGTCGTAAGGGCGGTGCTGGGGGAGCTTGTCGGCCTCGGACTTGGAAAACACCTTGGCAAAGGACGAGTACTTGGAGGGGACAGAGGGCTCGGCCTTGGGCTTGGCTCCAGCGTCGACGGAGCAGAGGGACAGGACTCGGGCAGCATCCAAGAGGAACACTTCCAGGCCTTCCTTCTGGACGGCGTGCTGGAAGGGGATGCTGCCGATCAGGCTGACGCTGGGCAGGGACTGGGTCTTGGTCTTGGTCTTTGGGACGGCAGGAGGCAAGGCAGGACTGGGCTTGGGCACGGCAGGAGGCAAGGCAGGACTGGGCTTGGGCACGGCAGGAGGCAAGGCAGGGAGGATCTCGGGCTCGGCTGGGGACTCGGCTGGGGACTTGGCAGGAACGATCTTGGACTCGGGCAGGGACACGGCAGGCTCGGCGGGGACCTCAGCAGGGGACTCGGCAGGCGGCTCGGCAGGGCTGGACCTAGAGGACTGTGGCTCGGGAGAGAACGGGGAGGCCAAACTGTGGATAGAGGTGCAAGGCAAGAAAATAGAGTCATGGTGCCAGTCAAAGTAGGGCTTGTGTTTCTTGATCCAATCCATACCCAAGATGATCGGGTATGAAGCCAAGGGAATCAGCGCGAACGAGATTTGTTCATAGTGGCTGATGCCTGTGATCATAGAAACACAAACTCCAAGACTAGACTCCATCGAAGAACCATCGGCAAGAGTGATGACGAAAGAAGTTGCAAAGGTGGGGAGAGCGTGGGTTGCGGCGAATCCAGTGTCCATAAACGAAGTAACCGCGCCGGTATCGATCATGGCGGTTGCCCGTATGGACTCTGGACCGCACAGCAGAGTCACAGCGAGGGAGGGCTGACGTTGGATGTCAGGCTCGGGAGGCGAAGACGAAGAAGCAAGAGCAGTGGAAACGGTGGCAATGGTGACGGGGGCAAGATGGCAAAAGGCAGAAGAGTGATTTACCGTGGAGACATTTACAGGAGGAAGATTTATGACATGATTGACGCCTAGGAAAGCTCCTCCGACCTTTTCTAGGCAGAGAAGTTTTCCTGGTCGTCAAGTTTATTCACATCAACGACAGCCAAAGAAGCATCGATGGCAGCCAAGCGGGAGGATGCCTTATTGGGGCAGCGAAGGGCAATGTGCCCTTCCTGCTTGCAATAAAAGCAGCGGTTGGCAGCACGGAGGGCGGCCTTGTCCTCGGCGGTCAGCCTGCGAGCGGAGGCCTGGCTGAGGTCCATGGGCTGCGGAACGTTGAAGGCTTGAGCGGGGCGAGGAGGAGGAGCAGGAGCGAAGGGGCGAGGAGCCGGACGGAAAGGGAGAGGAGCCGGACGAGCAGGAGCAGGAGCAGGAGCGGAGCGGTGGTTGGGACGGCGGGAACGTTGGTCCTCCTGGCGGTTGTCGATGGCGATCGCCGCTTGCATGAGATCTTCGAGGTTGTCGAAGGAGCGGCGGGAGAGTTCGTCTTGAACCGAGGGCTTGAGTCCACTCTCGAAGTGGAACATGAGAGGGTCTTGGGACCAAGTGAGGAGGTGGACGGCTTGGCGGCGGTACTCGGCGGCATAGGCGGCGGCGGAGGTGACTTGGTAAAGCCTGACCATCTCGCGAGCAGCGGCGATGGTGGGCTGGACCTGGCCAAAGGCAGCACGGAGCCACTCGGAGAAACCGGCAAAGTCACGG